CATGTTTGTTGGTAGAGGTAGTGATGGTTGTACTGAGCGATGGGATTTTGGCGATTGTGGAGATGCTGGGTGGGTAGGAGTGACATGGAGGTGGTGACGATGGTGGTGGGTCGATGGAAGGGTATACGGGGATGTTGAGGATGAACATGGGGAAAAGAGTGGAGTGTGATGGTGGTTGGTACAGGGAATGTGGGGTGGGGTTAGGGTGGCAGTGGTCGGTATGAAGCTGGTGGTAGTGAATGGTGGGGAGGGGGTAGAGGGGAGAAGGTGGGGAGGGGGGAGGAGAGAGGAGGAGAGAGGAGGAGGCGGTGGTCGGTAGGGAGCAGACGATGGTGAAGGGTGGAGGAGGGGATGGGGAGGAGGGAGCGGGGATAGGAAGAGAGGAGGGAGTTGGGAAACGGTTGAAGATAGATGAGAAGTGTAGGGATATGGTGTCGGTAGAGAAGAACAAATAGAGTGCTAAAATGAAACAAAAATTGGACGAATAATTGCATGAATACAAAGCAACCAAAAATAGCATGTGTGAATAGCGCAAACAAAATATAAAAAAGAGGATGATATAAGTAAGAGATAGCAAATTAAGATGGTATGATAGATAGAACAAAATAGATATAATAATAATAATAATAAAATAAATGTTGCTAGGAAAGAAAGTGAACGCATCTACGCAGAGAATCAGAAATGCCCGTGGGTACAGATCATTCTCTGAAGATGCAAATCAGTGTCTGGGGTAGCTATCTTCACGTCAAGAGATGCTGAAATCTCATCCGCACAAATGTAGTATGTCGTCAAAGTTCATAGTCACAAAAATACAGCATAACACACACTTTCTTATCAACTACCATCACTCACTACAAACTGTTGCACGGAACATGGGGCAGGAAGATGAGCAAATCAGTTCTTATTGTGCTTTCTTAAGAGTGGGTATTAAACAGTATTATTACAACTCCTATATAATATATAGGAGTGAAAAGACTATGTAAACTTACAAGAATTACGTTTGTAAAAATGTTGCAAAAGGCATCCAAAATACACTCCTAAGTGGTGAAATAAGCAGTACATTCTTTGCTTCAAGGTTAAACAAGAAGCGTATAAAATTATAATAATTGTTATTGTTATTACATTCGTCATTAGCACCCCCCCCCCCCTAAACTTCCAAAACCCAACCCTGAAGGTTCAATCAGGAATCAATATTATGAACAAAACATGGAAGATTGATATTGTAAACTTCTAATCTCGTCAGACAGAACAATGGAACGTAACTTCTCCAAAGGGGTACTGTGGAGAGCATAATGGTTATCGGGGTTCTTCTCTCTACACACACCCACGATCATTGCCTGGCTTGCTGCACAACACTGTCGCAGCAAAAATTTAAACTCAAATATGAGTTACATTTCCAACTATGGTCAGGGGATATCCAGCTATGATTTGGTCCCACGATATTAATTAAGTGTTGAGAATTTCCCAGGAAGGGAAAATGAGGTAATAAGTAGGTGTTTGTGAAACAGATTATAATTAGTAACTTGAGAGTGCAGTAGACAGGAATAACTGCGCCAGTAATAATATTATATCAGTGCGAGACCTGACGAGCAAACTTGAGCCAAAAAAGTTGCAGCCGTGAGCATGACATGACATGACCAGTGCAGAGTCAAGTCAAGGTCACACCAACATATCGTAATGACGTGCTCTGTAGTCATTCACAGATGCAGTGCACATTTCGCGTGAGTAACTGAAACCAGTTCTGTTACACTCATCATTCTAGTAAAAGCTCTTGTCATAGAATTAAGGTAGATATCACACAAGATCTGTAAGGACCCCAGAAAGGGTGAGTGTCATCTCGTATTGTGTATTTTGCCAGGATTAAAAATTCATTCGTGATGTCCAATAAGAATTAATAATGTCCACTCTTCAAAACTCAATAAACATAATATCTCTTTCAATATTTCTCTTTTAAACGAAAGTACTCTATCATTTTCGCACAAATGCGTCAGCATCTTCCTCTCAATAATTCGACCATATGATCGTAAATCTCTGCACAAAGAGAGATGAGGATCTTATTGGTGTCGAAAAAAGTATTGGCCACTAACAGCCATATACCAGTTACTTTTGTTTTTTTTAACATTACTCCTACGTAGCCTACATAGAAATATAACCACAGAGAAAGGAACATACTTAGTATTGTAATGCGAAATTCAGTAACAAGTATGAAAACTCTACTCAATAATATTGGTGGGAGGGGGTAAAATGAGGAGGGGGTAGGAGGGGGGAATCAGCGTCATAGTTATGGTGAAAGAGTTCACATAGGGTCTGTGGAAGCAGAGAGAGTATAATAAGGAGTGATTAGAGTGAAGAGAACAATAACAAAACTTACAGTAGGTCTCTCGACTGGGAGGGCTATCGTCTGTCCAAGCTGAAATAACAAACAACAAACACAAGTCAGGAAATTGTTGCTCCATATATTATCATCTCACATGTGAAAAGACATGTGAAACAAACAAAATATCACCCACTATTCTTTTTTTTGTTGCATTTGACGAACCCATAGTATAATTCTTCTCCAGGTCAGAGCATACTATTTCCTGTACTTTTTCGTCCAGTGAACAACAGATTTACCCCTCCCCCCTCCCCCCAAGCTTTTTTCTAATATAATTTTGTCAAAGAGTGAATCTTCCTATTTCCCCAAATTTGAGTGACAAAATATAGAATGTCAAAGAGTACGTTACCTGCACCATCTGAAGACCATCGCGGACACGCACGTAGACAAACTCTCGGTCAATGACAAAGGCCAGCATGCCTACTGGAAGATTGGATGCAGCCTGCAAGAGGGCATTCATGTTCTCGTAGACCACAGCACCCTGGGAAAATATAAAACCCCCCAAAGTGAATTGTTTGTGGCTTCACATCAAAATCCACTGCAACAACTACAATAATAATAATAATAATAATAATAACAATAATAATAGTAAAAATAACAGTAACAATAATGATAATAAAAATACAAATAAATAAATAGCTTGTATAGCTCATATCCCTGCTCAACAGCAAACTCTATGCACTTTACAATCTATAATAATACATAGCACAAACATTTTAAAAAAGGACATAAAATATGAGCATCTTAGATCGTGTAACACTGTCTCTCAGAACAGCAAAAGAAATAAAGATTCTCCTGTAAGGTATTATTTCTTAGCTATCCCTCCACTGCTTCTTTTTTTCTGTCTCCCCTTTCTCTTTCCTTTGAATTACTTTTATCATGTCCAGACAAGAACAAACCCTCACATATATGTGTCCGAGACAGAAGGTTTGATTCTTTTTCTAGCACAAAAATGAAATGCGTTCAATTCATAAAGGGAAAACATGTTTTAAACAGTATCTGCATCATTTTGCTGAGATAGCCTTAGTTAGCCTTGATAAGTGAGGTCAAAGCTGCACTGTAAAAAAGCTGTCTAAACAATGTTGAGGGTGATACACAAAAACACTAAACTCCAAATTTTTATTTTAGTTTCTTAAAATCACATAGCAAAAACAAAATTTTCTAAATAATGTTCATGATCATCATCTTTGCTTTTCACAGCCTGCATCAGGGTATAGGGCATGAACAAACAGTTTCCACCTTTAACACTTTGCAGTCACACAACCAGCAATAAAAAAATACCCCATTTGGTCACCCAGCCAGGAGAGCGACAGCAACAGGCTTCTCGGGCCTGCCGCAAAACTGCGCCAGGCAACCGGAATAGATCATTGTCACCAGCGCATTATTGCACCTAGTGACTGCAAAGTGTTATCTTTCCTTGTCTAGTCTCTCCATAGTATTCTGATTTCCTTCTTTTCTTTATATCTTTCTCTGTGACTCTTCTCTTAGTTCAACGTGGTCTTCCCTTTAGCCTCTTACCCAAATATATTATTATGTTAAATGGATGTAAAAACTCCCAGCCACTCACCCTGCTGCCGCCAGCTCCCACAGTACTTCCAAAGCCGATGACGGTCTCCGTGCCGCCACTTCCCACTCCACCGAGAGGCCCTGGGGGTCCCGGAGGTCCTGGGGGTCCTGGGGGTCCTCTGTAACGGTCCCGCCCACTTCCGGTGCTCTCTCCGGGGATTCCTGGTGTTCCGGGGGGTCCAGGGGGTCCGGCAATTCCCAAGCCTGGAGATCCGGGTGGTCCTGGGAGACCAGCCTGTCCCGGTCTGCCGCGAGGTCCCTCGATTCCGACGCCAGCTGGTCCACGTGGGCCCTGCCAGACAGATGGTTTGTTTGTGGTGAGGGAAAAGAAGCATAATGTCTATAACATAATGGTCATATGTGAGGCAATTTGGTGAAATCAGGTGCCCGCCAAATGATGACATCAAAGAAACAGGCATTTTTCGCCTTCAGACAATTTTTTCCGAATTTTTTTTTTTTTTTTAGCTCAACACCTTTTACGTCCATTTCAAAACACATTTTTGTGAGGATTTTACTGAAAAACGTTGACTAAAATAATAAAAGATGTAAATTTACAGTTTCCAAGGACTCTCAAGCAATGGAAGTCAACAAACTTTGACAGCCGTTTTCTCACTAATTTTAGGTCTGAAACCAGGAAACCTCATGTTTCTTCAATCAAAAATATCTCCGGTTCTATTCAAGACAGATGGGTATTTTTTTCTCGAAATATAGACAAATTATGACCAAGCTGTAAGATGATTTCAATAATTCCTTATGTCCCAAAACTGATGAGCGCCTGATTTCACCGCGTTGTAACACAAGAGTGAAGAAAAAGAAGCCAAAATTATATCCAATGCATTAATGTTTTTTAGTGCTGAGAAAAAGTGAGGAAAAAGAAGCATATCGAAACAATGATGGTCATTAAATACTGGGAAAAATTGAGACAAGCAAACAGAAATGAATGAGAGTAAGGGAAAGTAAAGTTGTAGGACCTATCAGAAGAGCCTTCCAACCACCTACATTTGGGAAACAGAAGGTTAGTTTTGTGTGAGCGAAAAGAAGCATATCGACAACATAATGGTCATTAAGTGATGGGAAAAAGCAAGACAAACAGACAGAAATGACAGAGGGTGAGGGAAAGTAAAGACGCAGGACCTGTCGTTGTTGTTGTTATTGCTTTCAAATCCCTTTAGCCGCAGGCATATCGCTCTTGGCATCTGGACCTATTAGAAAAGTCTTTCAATGACCTATAGTGGGAGACAGACGGTTTCTTTTGTTTCAGGAAAAAGAAGCACATCGGCTGCCAGTGGTTACAATGTCTTGAGCCAAGAAAAAAACCAATTCATGAGAGAGAAAAAAACGTTCACTATTATATTGTAGGGCCTACCTACTTTATAAAGGCCTATCTACATTTGCTTTTATCAACATTTAAATTTCCAATTTTGACTAAAATATTTCTTGAACTTATGTAACTGATATTACAGATTTAAAAACTGCAATAAACACGATTTTCACAATTTTGGAGAAGACTTAATGACGAAAGACGTTTGAAAGAAAAGAAGGAGCAAACCATACAAGAGCACCCAACAACCACCCACAATTGAAAATATTCCGATTGCGTGATACCGTACAAAAAAACCTAACCCAGCACAACAAGCACAATGTCCGGTGTGTACAAACCCTCTCTCCTTGAGGTCCGACGGGTCCCTCTGGTCCGGCCGGTCCCCTGATAACCACCTCGCCATCACCGCTGCCGAATGATCCAATGTTGGACAAGCCTGGGGGTCCAGGGGGTCCGGGGGGTCCGCGGAGACCAGTGTCACCATCCGCACCCTGGGGTCCCTGCGGTCACCGAAGGTGGGGGGGGGGGGGGAGGGGGGGTGGTGATATAGACAGGGGAGGGGAAAGAAAGTTGGGGATAATTCATGAAATTACTTTTCCTTGTACCCCTGCTAGAGTTTTTTCTTCTTTTTTTGTAAGTATTTTACAGCGCTCGCAACTGCATAACGTCATATGAGCTTGCTGCTAGAGTTTAGGAAGCAACTGACTGGGAGATCTTCATCTCACAGAGCAGTTTATATATACTATATTACATCCACTATATATATATATACATATATATATATATTGACCATAGAGTTAATCCTTGCTTGACAGGCAGCTACAGCCCATTTTTTAAAGTTACTTTTATATTCATAAAATTATACTTAAATAATTTAGGAAGACCCTAACACGGGAGATTACAGGGATGGTTTGTATTACTTAAACTTAAGAATGTAATTATAGAGAATGCATATCTCGAATTTAAAAAATCTTGAAATGATAAAAACTTCAACACTAAAACCCCAGCCGATTCAAGAGATATATCAAAATTTAACTTTCAATCAAAAGAACAAGTTTTTGATATTGCTTACCTCTCTTCCTGGTCTACCATCGTTGCCATCTCTTCCAGGGAAGCCCTTCTCACCCTTTTCACCTTTCTCTGCTACAGGTGGGAACAGAGAACACGCAAAAAAAACAAATAAATTAAAACTTTATCTCATTGAAAAACAGTTACACTTTTTCATATTCTGAGCTTTCGCAAAAGCAACAGATCACCGCACTATATCTTCTCTTGTTCTTAAATCATGAGAAAATATAGAACAAAATTTCACAACCCTTTTTCTTCAGTAGTTAAAAAGAATCCTTTGGATTCAAAAGATACACTCAGAGTACCATTTCCTGGTCTCTTAGGGAAAGCGATGGGAAATATTTGTAAACTTCAATGAAAAGGACTGTGACTACATACTTAGTCTATGAAGAGTTATAGCACTGGATAAATTCTTTCTATATTCAAATCTATTATATAAGTCATTCATCCATATGAAAGTGAAAATTCATATCAATTAAAAAATTAATTCCAATCCTGCTTTATGCACACACACAAAAGAGGAAACTTTGGAAATGAAGGAAACACTCGAAAAAGAGGCACTTCACAATAAGATAATTAATTACTGAATAAAAGTTTTCACAAAAAGAAACAAAACCCCAAAACAAGAAGTGACCATTCAAGGCATCAGGGTCGTCAACCAAATTTAAGCAAATGGACAGGAAAGGCAGACATGTCCTTATCAGATGTTAAGCTGAAGGACAAGAAAAACAGAGGTCACAGCATTACAGAATTGATCCTATAGATGACGTACCCAGAATAACTCCATCAGGCCCAGCACCAGTCCCTGCGGGTCCTGGGGGTCCGGGGGGTCCTTGGGGTCCAGCCACACCTCGAGGTCCTCTTGATCCCTGTGGGGATGGACAAAAAGCACAAGCATGTTTTAAGACAGCTAAAGATGTCGACATAATGACATAAACTTCTATAGAATTACTGTTCATACTCTCGGTGTTACAAACAGTATTTGATTAAATAAATTAATTAAAAGCAGGAGAGTCCGCGATCTGTGAATGTGGACACGACCAAGAGGATGCCAACCATATCATATAAGAAGCAGATTGCGTGTGAGGGCAAACGTTTTTGAGAATAGGGTTAATACTATTTGGTACAATCTCCCCGATTCAGTGGAGCCAGCTCCAAACGTGGACACATTTAAGAGACGTCTGGACGAATACTGGAAAGATCTCCCAACTATTTACAACCCCACCTGCCAAAACTGATTTGTCTAGCCTGCACGCAATGCATTATTGTAATTCATTACCAGATAGTTGAACAGGCTCTACTTAGAGCCTCAAACAACTAATCGTCAAGGTCAATGTCTATGTCATATCCTTCAGCACTACGCCACCCTTCGTACACAGACGTGGCAGATTTGAAGCGGACTGCACAGTTTGTGCGCGAACATCGGACAGACTGTCTAGCTGCTGTCATCGAGAACAAGGCAGAAGAAGATGAAATTTTTTTTTAAAGCAGCTGATGGAATCGCATCCTGCCCCTCCACAACAAACCCCCCCCCCCCTCCAACAATAATAAGACCAAAAAACACTCTAACAAAACAAAACAAAAAAATGGAAAAATCACTGAAACACAAAATCCGCTCAAATAATTAAATAATTTCAATAGTTAATAAAATTACAGCGGTAAGCAAAACCGAATCCCAACATACCTCATCTCCCTTAGGTCCGGGCAGGGCAGCTGCAGTGCTGGCGTCCAAAATGGCAGTTCTGCCTGGGCGGCCAGGGAAACCACGCTCTCCCTTATCTCCTGGCACACCGTAACCAGCCGGTCCACGACGACCACGCAAGCCAGGACGTCCCTGAAATGTGACCAATCACGGGCAATGTAAAAAACTCAGGAAAGTAGCGGAGCCAATTGCGACCAATCACAGGGATCGTAAGAACCTCAGGAATGTAGTGGAGCCAATCATGAGAATGATGTGGGTGAGTAAGTAACTAATTAAGTTGGTTGGAGCGGTGGAGTAATTCACAATGACCGAGTAGTAATTCCGAATGAGGGAGTAGTTTATCAGAAGATGGAGTAGTTATTCAGAATGATGTCCTACTTTTTATATAAAGTAAATAGAATGATAGACAATAATTCAGTATAATGTAGAAATATGAAAACACAGACAAACACACACACATATGCACACACAAGCACACACACACAAAAAACAACAAACAAATCCCACTCACACACACACAGAAACATACATTCCCACACCCACCTATACATAATTATTTCAACAAAAGCATCCTAAACAAAAATAACAACTTACAACAAATCCTGGGAGACCCATCTCTCCTCTGCGTCCGACCGGTCCGCGGGGACCAATAGGTCCTGGCTCACCTGGCTCGCCCTGTGGGAACAAACACAAAAATGTCATTAAACAATTCCTCTAAGTCTGCTTCAGTCCTGTTATCTGGCTGACCAATTTGAAAATAATGAGTGACCTTTTTTCAATAACCCCTTCTCTGCCCCTCAACTTTACTTTTCTCTTTATATTGAATTTTAATGAGAATAATATGTAATTTAAATTCTATGTACACAGTACCTGAATGTGTTTTTACCATCCCTGTACAGCCTAAAAAAATTTCCCTCTGGGACAATAAAGTATCATCTCATCTTATCTTATCACATCTTATCTTATCACATCTTATCTTATCGTATCGTATCTTATCTTATCTCATCTTACTTTTACAAATTTAAAATGAGTAATGTTCTGACTCTGCAAATCAGGGCCAACACGCATAGTGTGATGCAATCCAGAAGAAATATGGGAATATAAAGTATAATGTGTTCTTGAAATGTGATGGAAGTCATATCTTTTGCTTATTTGATGATCAGATCGCTCAAAGATTGTGGAAGGCTGTTCTCTTTTACATGAGCTGAAATGTTTTACAATGTTAGAGATTATTTTTTGCATGACTAGAAAAGTAATACAGACTGTCATAATATAAAGATGCCGAAAAAAAAGGAGAAAAAGTATAGGTTTAGCGCCCCTATCAACACTCTTAGGTTATTTAAGAGGCGGTTTATATAGAGAGATGTAAACACTAAAAGGAACATGCTTTATCATTGAACAAAATAAAATGGTTGCTTTTAAGCAAAAGGGGGCTATCCAGAAAAAGGCTGTTTTGAGAAAATCGAAGGTAAAGTGTTTGTCCCTTGTTCAGTTTCTTTAAAAGACAAGGAGAGTTTTCTTTATAATCAAACAAATATACACATCAACGAAACCAAACTTCTCCTATAGGAAAGGCAATGCCCACTTCTGTGTAGGTCAAGATTTCTGGAAATTCCGACATCTGGGTTAGCCCGCTTGTCCTTAAAAGTGACCAAATATTTAGCACATTCTATTTTCCAAACTACAAGAAACTTCCCCAGCAAAAGATGCTCCACCAGTGTGAGCAATCATACCTTCGGTCCGAGGACGCCAAGACCACCGCTGACATCTCTCACTTCTCCGGGAGGTCCTGGGGGTCCTTGAAGTCCAGTGGGTCCTTGAGGTCCGGTGAGACCGACAAGACCACGCTCTCCTGTGTCTCCCTTAGGTCCCTAGGTAAAAAAATGACAGACCAGTTAGGGGTTGATGGTCTATGAGTGAACAGAAATAATTATTATCATTTTGAGCGATATTTATTGTTGTTGTGGTTGTTATTATCATTGTTGTTGTTGTTACTGTTGATGTCATCTTTTTCTTTTCATTACTATCATTATTATTCGTATCACCATCATGCATTTCTCAAAATCAAAGGAGCTTTGGGTCAAATGTTCTGCAGAAAACATAAATAAAAATAAAAAAGAAACTGATAGCCCACCATTGTACTGAACTTTAAGGTTTTCGAACATGAAAGTACAGAGTTGCAAAAAGACTTAAGAAATGAGAAATAACCCAGATCTGGCATGACAGAGAACAAATTTTATTCAAATTTACATTCTGCAAAAACACAGAGAAGAAGTTCAGAACCTATTGTTAACAGCAGAGTAAAAATGAAAATCTTGAATTCTGGGAAAGTCCTGATCCATCCTGCCCATCCCTGACAATACTAGACAGTTAAGAGACTGAGATATGTCAAAAGTGTGTCATAGGTGGCCTAGTGGTTAGGCTACCAGACTTATAATCATGAGGTTGCGAGTTCGGGGGTTCGAGCCACGGGCCAGATGTTGTGTCCTTGGGAAAGGCACTTTACACGAATTTTCCTCACTTCTCCCAGGTGGGAATGGGTACCCGGCCATAGACAGTGAAAGATCTTGTCAGTATGTTAGTGTTTTAGCGCCTTTAATGGCTGCTTGCACTGTATGCTTCCCAGGAAGTTGAAGTTGTTTCAGAGTGCTCTCAGGTCGCTGGGATAATAGTAGGCTCCTATATATTGTGAAGTACATAGAGCTTGCTGTCGAGTGGGGATTTGTTTTTTTTTGTTTTGTTTTTGTAAAGTGTTTTACGGCGCTCGCAACTGCATAGGTCATATGAGCGCGCGGGACACACCTAATGTTTTCAGTTGGTAGGAAATTTTGAATTTTGCCCGGGTGGCGGCCGAAGCCTACTCTTATCGATTTTAGACCACCAAGGGATCTTTAACGTGTGCAACTTGCACACGGGCCCTCCGAGATTTTTTGCCCTTGTCCGAGAAGGCTAAGTGTAGATCTTTCCTACCAGAAGATCAGGGGTGTGGCAGAAAGACAGCGGTAAGGGGGAGCCAAGGAGTAGCAGTAGAAAGGCTGCAGAAAGAGTCAGGAGCCCAGAGGAGGGGGCAAAAGAGGTGAGGGGATGGGGGCAGAAAGTGGAAATGAAAGCAGACAACAGAACATTGCTAGAGAGCAGGAAAGGAGGTGAAAGGAGACAATTTTAGAGAAGAAAATTTTTTGGTCGCTACCCGGATTCGAACCCGGGACCTTTGAATGAGAGGCCAACACCTTAACCTCTAGGCCACGAGAGCCCCCCAGTGGGGATTTGCGCTACACAAATTATGTTATCTATTATTAACTCTTTGCACACATATCCCCGATATATTGGCGGGAGGGCAGTGCAAGAGCACACCCCTTTTGGACGTATTGCCGATACATCGGCTGTGATAGAGTACCTCAGTTTTGTTACATTTTAACACGATCCGTCATTTACAATGACTTTTTATTGCTATTGAAAAATTTGGAAAGGATTTAGGAAACGAAAACATCTAGTTTCACTTTGTCAAAACGTGGGTTTGGGGAAAAACGAGAGAATTAGGTCTTGCAGTTTTGTATCAACAAACCGAAGTTACCGGACTCAGTAAAAATATAATAACTTCCTAAAATGAGGAATATTGCTTTCAAATAAAAAGCTGTGCATTCATAAATTTATGGATTATGCTCTTGGCCCGTATATGATAAGAAAGCTATGCTGATTTGCTTTCACATGTTTGGTAAATTAATTTTTTCTGTCAAAATTTATTTTTCTCCTCACCATCACCATTTCTAACCCTGTTAATGCATACTTATGTTCAAAATTAATCTTGTTTCATATTGGGATGTATTCCTCATTCAATTTCCTTCAATTTGGTATATCATATGTTACGTTTTGAGGGATGGTTATGCTTCTATGAAGTTATTTTGTACACCTGCATAGACATATCGAGCCACAAGTTAATTATGTCTAGGTCCAAAAAAAACTACGTTCGGAAAGAATTAAAAGTATGACAAAATCAACTCACAGGCAGTCCATCCATTCCGGGCTCTCCTGGCTCTCCATTCAAGCCGGGTGCTCCTGAACGGCCAACGTCTCCTGGGAATCCTTGCAAACCGATAATACCAGGCTCACCCTTTGCTCCCTTTTCACCCTGGGGGATTTAAGAAGAAAATAATGAAGCATTCTGAGACTGCACTACATTATATGGCATAAAAAGTAGACAGAACACTGCTGGATTGATAACAACAAAAAGAACCCTGTTGTTACCTTCACAAACGGATTTGTAACAAGACTAACAATATTAACAGTCCGTTCATCAGTGTCTCACACTGAACAATGCATCTAAAAAAACAACTATATCAAAACACAGCACAAACAAGCTAGCGTAATTCTCCTTCATTCCTATAATGGAAGATACAGCAAAGCTAATTAACAGCACCTTAGCATCGCTTCATAAACTTGACTACCTTGTTTCATAAGAGATTTTAAGAAAAAGATTTCATTAAAATTTATTCCGCAATCTTTAAAGATATCATCACTGAAATTAACAAGAAACTGCCCTTCCCCCCTCCCCCCAAAAAGCACAAGAAACAAACAAAAAAGCAAGAAGAAAAGCAACACCAACTCCCCCCCTCTAAACACAATACCCCCCCCCCCCCTCTCTGAAACCCCCACAACAAAACAACAAACACCTCAACAAGTAACCCTCACACACACACAAAAGCCACAAACACGTACCGGAAGGCCAGGCTCACCAGCCACCTCAACTGTTGAGTCGGACAACGCCACAGCTGGTCGGCCTGGGAGTCCGGGGGGTCCTGGGGGTCCTTGCAGACCCTGGGGTCCCTGGGGTCCTGGCTTGGAGAGTGGTGCCGGGGGGATGGGGGCAGCTGGGCCTGGCTCGCCTCTATCTCCCTGAAGAGGAACAAAGCATTGAACTTATGGCTTACATACTCAAATGGGACAGTGTTCTACACAAATGTTATTATTATTATTACTACTATTATTATTATTATTTTTATTATTGTCATTATTATCATTATCATTTTCATTATATTATTATTATTATAAATATTATTAATAATTCTTAAAAATCATCTTTATTTTTATTACCATTTTTATTATTGTTATTATTATTATTTTTATTCTTAATCTTATATTCATTATTATTATTATTATTATTATTTTTATTCTTAATCTTATATTCATTATTATTATTATTATTATTATTATTATTATTATTATTATTATTATCATTATTATCGTTATCATTACATATACTATCATTATTATTATTAACTTAGCAATTTGTATTTGTATCTGACACAGCCTAACTAATGACTTGACTTATGCCCTTTGACCCACCTTTTGACCTCTATCTCCATCCAGTCCAGGCAGACCTGCTTCTCCCTGTGGTCCCTGGGGTCCAGCACGGCCAGGGGTTCCAGGCTCTCCATGGTTGCCAGGGATACCTTGTTCTCCGTCAAATCCCTGGGACAGACAGACAGACAGACAGAGAGAGAGAGAGAGACCATCGTCAAAACGAGCTAAAAAGCAGATGTGTTGCGTTCATGTATTCATGAAGAGTAAACAGAACTACAGTCAAACTTGTCCAAGAAACCATCCGTTATAGAGAAGAAAAGTCGTTGTCTTCAACTGACGATCTTCACGGACAGTGTCATTATAATTAAGAAAAAAATGCAAGGGAGGGAGTGGGGAGTGGTCATTTGTTCAGGTGATTGTCTTAGACAGGTAGTCATTAGAGCTAACCATATCCTTCAGCACTGCCCACACTACGCCACTCTTCATACACTGACGTAGCAGAATGGGACTCCCCTTGAGAGAAAGCTCTATGGCAGTCTCTCAGATTTGAAGCCGACTGCACAGTTTGTGCACGACATCGGACTGACAGTCTAGCTGCTGTAATTGAGAACGAGGAAGAAGAAGAAGAATTAGTAAAGCAAGTTTGACTGTCCTTATATTTTAGGGGGTGGGGGGTTCTGTTGTACATGTCTAATGTCATAGAATAGGTTCCATGGGGAGGAAGATCTTGAAAACAAGGTTAGAGTACAGTACAAGAGCAGTCTAAAATCTATGATTTTCTATTTTCCAGTTATGGGAATCCATAATTGAACTTTGTCTTTATATTCATATCCATTTAAACTATTAAAACCTGGCAAAAAATTCATCCTTACTAAAAAAAAAAATAAAATAGGGTGATTTTATTATCTCAGTCTAAGAATTCAATAATTCCAATCCCTAAATTTTTGTTGTTTTTATTTTTCATGTAGGTACTTATGCACACCCATCGATAAAGTTTAGGTAATTTAGGAGGCGAGCTTTACTCATGTCTGTCAGGGCCAGCCCTCTTAGAGAGGGCTGTGATGTTCAGGAAAGACCAAGATGGAAATTGAACTAAGGTCTTCATGTGGCAGTGGAGCATCTAACTGCTACACCACAGATGTTGGTTCTATATTTCCCCATAGGAACTACATCATGTTTTCACGGCAAGAAAAGAAGGCATACTCTTTCTCCTTTATCTCCAGGGGGTCCCACAATTCCTTCCTCTCCGCGGGGTCCTGGCTGTCCAATCGGGCCTCTCAGACCCTGGATACCTTGTGGTCCCTGAGGTCCTGGCAAGCCACGGGGTCCGGGGAGTCCGGGAGTACCCTGCAGACCGGATGGGTATGGGTGGGGGAGGGAGAAGGGGTGAGGTAGGGGTAGGGGTAGGGGTAGGGGCAGGGAGAGGGGTAAGGAGAAGGGGGAGGGGGGAGGGGGAGTTGGGACAGGGTAGGTGGGGGATAGGGGGGTGGTGGTGGATGGTTGGGGGGGGGGTGAAGAATAATAAATGCAATTAGTACATTTAAAATCATAATAAATAGCATTTGTATAGCACACATCCCCACTAAGCAGCAAGCTCTGTGCACTTTTAAATTTTACTTCCCTACATCATGTTTTGTAAGACTTCAACTGGGATAAGGAGGAATGTTTCTCTCAAGTTCAGGAGAAATTGGAGACCTCTGATAAGAACTTATTTACTCTGGTACTTTCATCAATTGCCATAAAGTGAAGAACACATAATAATATAGGTAATACAACCCTGTATCATAGGGAGCAGCCCTGTGCACTTGTACCCAAACATGAACTAGGAGGCGTCTCCTCTGTGTGTGTACATGTGTGTGTTTGTGCATGTATATAGGTATGTGAAAGAGAGAGAGAGAGAGATAGAGAGAGAGAGAGAAAGAGAGAGAGAGAGAGAGAGAGAGAGAGAGAGGGCGACCGAGAGAAAGAGTGTGAGAGAGATAGATAGATAGACAGAGAGAGAAAAAAAGAGAGAGAGAGACAGAAAGAGAGAGAGAGAGACAGGGAAAGAGAGAGAGACAGGGAGAGAGAGAAAGAGAGAGGGTGAGAGGGCAAGAGAGACAGAGGCAGAGAGAGAGACAGAAGGTAACAAAGAGAGAGAAAGACAGAGAGATACAGACAGAAAGAGTGAGAGAGAGTGAGAGAAAGAGAGAGAGGACGGTAAAGAGAGAGGGCGACAGAGAGATAGAGAAAGAGATAGATAGATAGATAGATGGAAAGAGCACAGACAGAGAGAGAGTTAGAGAGAGAGAGAGTTAGAGCGAGAGAGAGAGAGAGGGAGAGAGAGAGAGAGAAAGAAAGAAAAAAGAACACTAAGAGAAAGAGAACAAATGTATTTCATGACCCCAAATAAAATACAAATCTTCTCCTACCTCCAGTTCACCGTCACCACTGCCGAAGAAGACTGTTCCACTTCCTGACCCAGTAGGTCCTGGGGGTCCGGGGGGTCCAGGGGGTCCCATTGGTCCAAGAGCTCCTGGTATACCGTCAATACCGTCTCTACCAGGCAAGCCTGTCTGGCCGTTCTGACCGGGAAGTCCTGGCATGCCAGCAACACCCTTGGGGGAGAGACACATGAGTTGTTTTTAGAAAAAAATAGTTTTAGTAAGGTTTTACTGCGCTAGCAACTGCATAAAGTCATATGAGCCCCGAGGGGTGGATGTCAACAGAGAAGTCCAAATGAGGAATCAGGCTTTCTCGGCTCACCTCTCTAGCCTCAACGGCACTTCGACTTATAGCAAGGCACCCTGGAAATAGCAGTTCACAAGAGAGTGACAAACAGGCAAAAGAAGTATAGAAAAAATGACGAAAGTAAGAATGAAGAAAGAAAAAGCAGCAGTTCCCCTTATGTCGTTCCGGTATGAGCATGACATTGATAAATCAGCCCATTTACAATCCAACTGTGCATAAGAACAACACAAGAGTTTGAAATCATAGAAATCATGCATCAATCAATTCTGGTGGACTTGAGAACGATTATTTAGAAAAACTACAACATAGTATTTCCTGAAGAATGCATTGTTATCTCTCTCTCTCTCTCTCTCTCTCTCTCTCTCTCTCTCTCTCTCAATCTCTGCCTGTCTTGAGGGTTTCGTGGTCTAGAGGTTATGAAATTCGCCTTTCATTTAATAGGACCCGGTTTCGAATTCCGACAGTGACGGAAAATTTTCTTCTCTACAAATGTTCTCCTTTTCAATCCTTTCCTGCTCTCTAAAAACGTTCTGTCACCTGCTTTTGTCTCCACTTTTTGCTCCCCACCCCCTCACCTCCTTTGCCCCCTCCTCTAGGCTCCTGACTACTTTCTGCAGCCTTTCTACAGCTACTCTTTGGCTCCTTCCTACGGGTATCTTTCAACCACACCTCTAATCTTATTGTAGGTAAGATCTACACCAAGCCTTCTCGGGTAAGGGCTAAAAATCGAAGAGGTCCCATGTGCAAGATGCACACGTTAAAGATCCTTGGAGGTCCAAAATTGATAAGAGTAGGTTTCAGCTGAAAACCGGGCAAAATTCAAAATTTCTCAACTGAAAATGTTTAATGTGTCTCGCACGATCATATGACCAGTTGCGAGCGCCGTAAAACACACCATAGAAGTTTTAAAATATGCCTGTTTCTCTCATTTCTTTTTTTCCTCTCAATACCCCCCCCCCCCCCCCCCCTCTCTCTCTCTCTCTCTCTCTCTCTCTCTCTCTC